AATTATTTTATACACACATAAAGAAAACAAGAATCTTATCTTTGAATTCAAACAATTGAGCTATATAAAGTGTAGGTAAGATAGTGTAATCTAATTAAGTTTTATTCCATATATTTTAATAAGCGGGGCATCTTCAAGCATATATGTAGAGCTGTTAAAACGGACTGATTCGTCACAGGTTGGGAAAGAACAAGCCGAATTGACTCAGTCCATTCTAAATCTGGCCTGGGTTGAAATTTTTTGCCCAACCCAGCTAAGCACGGACTGGCAGGCTAAATGGGTCAGCCCGTTTCTTATTAATTATATTATTTAAAAAAATTAAATTATTCATATATATACCAAAACTCGAACCCTAAATATAGTGAACTTTTTAAACAAATGTCATGTGTGCTTATATATAATATATGTTTAGATAATTAAATTTTAATTTATATTCAAATAATTAGATTTTAATTTGTAATATAATTATAATTTATTTAATTTACATCTAACACTAATATAATTTATATGTAATATTTTTATTTTATAATTATAATATTATTAAATTATAAAGTTTATAAATTTTTTATAACTTTATATAGTTTATGTAATAAATAAACTTTATATTTATTATATAAATTATATATTAATATTTATATAAAGTTACAATTAATCATATTAATTAATACTTGTAATAAATATAATATGACTAAGTTATATATATATATATATATATATATATATATATATATATATATATATATATATATATAGGGAAGGGATCAGGTGCGGGGAGTTCTTCCCGTGCGGTTGTATTGGTGGACGCACATTAAGTACACAACACATGCATATTAAGCACACAAACAAAACACCTTAAGAATACAAATCCACGCACCTTAAGCACAAAAACACACACACACCTTAAGTTTCAACAACAACTCACATTAAGTACAAAATTCACGCACCTTAAGCACAAGACTCACGCACCTTAAGCACAAAACTCACGCACATTAAGCCCAAAACTCATGCACCTTAAAGTTTCAACAACAACTCATATTAAGTACACACTCACGCACATTAAGCACAAAATCCACACACCTTAAACACAAGACTCACGCACCTTAAGTACAAAACTCACACACATTAAACACAAAACTCAGTACACACTCACGCACCTTAAGCACAAACCTCATGCACAAGACTCATACACCTTAAGTATAAAACTCACGCACATTAATCACCCGCACGGGAGACACCTACCCGCACTGGAACTTAATTATATATATAGGGGCGATCAAGTGCAGTCATGTTGTTAGGTGTGGTCATATAGTCAATTGCAAGCCATTAGATTAGATAGATCCAATGCACATTAATCAAGATTCTTCCAGTATTTTCGCGCACATTCTCCTACCCGGCGAACTGCAAGGGTAAACTCGCCATAGGGCACCGGAATAAGGGAAATCACATTGTTGTGTGTTTTATTTGTGTAATTGGTGCATTATTAGCCTTACTCTGGTGTATTTATAGATTCCCATTGGTGCCAAGTTCAGGTGCGGCAACGCCTTCCCGTGTGGTCAGTGCGGCCGCACCAATTGTTATACAAATATACACCATCCATGTTATAAAATGCACAGCAAAAAACTTACACAAATTAGGTACGCATCACCAAAAACGCGCCATTATTAGATATGAACAAATACACCATACAGTGTTCGGGAATACAGTATTGGTGTGTTTCACTGTGGTGTGTTTTATTACACTATTGGTGCATGTTGTCAACACTGTCGGTGTATTCTGGAACCCGACCGCTATAAATGGCCATTGTAATTACCATAACACCCCCACTTACCAAAATGCGCGAAAATTCTCAAATCCTCAAAATTTGCCACGGTCGTTAAATTAAACTGATTCAACGACACATATACGATCACACCACCACACTTAATGACATGACCACATATGAGCGCTCTTCTATATATATATATATATATATATATATATATATATATATATATATATATATATAGGGAAGGGATCAGGTGCAATTGTGGCTTCCCGTGCGGATGTGCGGTGGATTAATGTGCCTGAGGTTTATACTTAATGTGCGTGAGATTTGTACTCGATGTGCCTGAGATTTGTACTTAATGTGCGTCATGTTAATATGCGTGAGTTTTGTACTTAATGTGCCTGATTATTGTGTTTAATGTGCGTGAGATTTGTGCTTAATGTGCGTGAGTACTTCAGAATTACGAGCTCAGAAGGAAGCAGAACAGAAACTCACGCACATTAACACCCAAGCTTCTTGTTACTTCTTCCTTCAATTTGGCCATGGATTCTGGATTATCAGCTACCTTCAGTGCAGTTGAATGTTTATATAAATGAAGCATGCACAGTAAAATTTGCACAGCAGCTAAGTGTGGATTTCTGTTGTATTATTCTCATAATTCTTAACCACCATAGCCCGCCGCCTCCGCATCATTATCATCAGGGAGGGGGCAAATAGCTACTGGGGATGGGGAAGAAGCTGACATCAATATTTTCTGCTGCATTTTACATATTCACGCACATTAAGTACAAATCTCACGCACATTAATCCACCGCACATCCGCACGGGAACCTTTCAAAAAAAAAAAAATATATATATATATATATATATATATATATATATATATATGAATTACTTAAATAAATGAATAATAATACAAAAACATTCATGAAGTGTCATTAGCATAGTTGGTTTAAATAATTTTGGATTAATTGAAAGGTTTGTGGTTCAATTCTTATAATAAATATATTAATTTTAAACAATAATTCAAAATTCAATTACACAAAATATATTTAAATAAATTTGAGATGGGTGGAAAGTGAGTTATACGGGTTAATTCGTAAGTTTCTCCAATCACGAGTTAGACAGACCAGGCCCAAAACAGGTCAGGGTGATAATATCACGACTCATATATGCTAGATTAATGACAAGTGTTCAACTGCAAAATCACTATTGATCATGGTCCTTTTTTTTTAGACTATATAGATTTTGACCTTTTTCAAAAAAGAAATTCTTGAATAAGAATCGAAGTAAAAAGAGAAAAAATGACAATAATAGTTGGGGAAGAAATGAAGGGTGATGGCAATAAAAAGATGAAATGAAAGGAGATATAAAAGGGAAGACAAGAGGAATCCAAGATACAATCCTAAGATATGTCGTGTTATATATGTCCCAACAAAAGCAATCACACAACGTAACAAACAACAAATAATGTGTATATATTTGTGTGCTGCCACATGAAATTGTGGCCTTGTGGGATAGGGACTATCCTCCTTTGTCTTTACCTTTGGCCCTTTCTCCCCCCTTTTTTTTTTTTCCTATCTTCCACTTTTCGCCCCTTCCTCTACTCCATTCATTCACTCAAGGACCACCTAAAAATAATTTTATACTATTTTATTCTCCGATATAATATTACTTTTATTATTTTATTTTAATCTATAAAGAGGAAAATACTCAACTGATGAAACAGATAAGCTCCGATCCTCATATTAAACACACATACTGCTTAATATCCGACCACCTTTAGCCTATTTACCAAGACTATTCACCAAACTCCTCGGAGGATCAACCCGGCCTGACCTCCATACCCCTAGCATGTAAAATTGGCATCCTTGCAAGCATATCAGCATCTTTGTTTTGCTCCCGATCTCACCACTTGGCTCTTTGAAAAGATTAACTTTTTTATTTCTCGATTATATCCACATTTTGCTCTCGATCGATCTATATACATCCCTATCACATTTTGAGTGCACGTATTTGATATGATCAGTCGACTCCTACTTATGGTACAAAACTTTCAACGGTCCCAAACTCATGATCAGGAGTTCTGGACACATGGTTTAAAAAAAAAAAAAAAAAAAAAAAAAAAAACTCAATTAATGCACTTACCCATAGTTTGCATTACAGCCCACATTTAGTTAATTCACTGTGTGTATATTTTTATATATTTATTTCCAATAATTAGAGTATAGTTGGCATAGTTTGGAGGTAAACGAGCAAGGAGAATGGCGACAGGAGTCTTGTTGTTTCTTTTTCTTTCATTTTAATTTATTAGTATTATTTTGAAAAATAACGACAAAAAAAAAAAAAAAAAAAAAAAAAAAAGAGAAAATTGCAGGATAATTTATAATATCATAGGATAGGAAGAATGTTGCCTGCCGCATACAAGGTGTCAAAGGACAGTGATGAGGAAAATAGTAGGTTACTACCTAGGTGTCAATAATTTTCTGGGAATATTTTACAAATTTTAAATTAATATTAACCTATCACATCCCTCCAAAATCTCCAGATATAAAAATAATTAATCCCAATAAAAAACAAAAAATCTAATGCAAATAATTAAAAATATTATATCCTGCCTTTAGTGAAGCTCTTCCAATCCCCTCCATGGATTCTAGCTCCACTTATTTATTTATTTATTTATTTCTGAATCTTGCATATTCATCTCTTGGACATTTCCTCCAGGTCGATCTCCTGGATATATGTTTTTTTAATTTTATATTTTGGCTTTTTTCTATTTCACGTGGTGTTTCTTTAATTTGTCAAGTTTTGGTCATATTCAAGCAATTCAAACCTAAATATTAATTTGTCAAGTTTTGGTCATATTCAAGCAATTCAAACCTAAATATAACAAAAAATCTATATATTAAAGTATAATGCCGCTAAGGTGCACACATAGTGAAGCCTACCTTATAAATCTTACCCGACAAAAAACTATGAGGTAAATCTGCTTAGGTTACCTCACTCTATATATCATTCAGTATATTGTTTAATTTTTTTTTAGTACTACTGACTTTATTACTATCTGTTGATCTAGTATATTGTTTAATTTAATTTGTATGTATGTATATATTCCATCAGTCCATTTCATATACTCCGATCCACAGCTAAGGTGGTGGGGTGGGGTGGGGGTTAAAGAAAAAGAACTGATTAATATAATTAAAAGAGAAAAATAATAATAAATAAGAGGAATTGAAGAGACATTGCATATATTATATATATAAAAATTTTCCCTCTATATTTCGGTTCCACAGTACAAGTTTTGAAATGAGAAACGCCCTTAATTATATATTTTCCTTTCGTCATCATCATTTTCCGGCGCCACGAGAGATCGGAAAGCTAAGGGCACTGATTCACATATTTATATCTTCATGGAATTGTAGGGATCGGATAGCTAGTAGTAGCATGCATATATATAATAGTATATCGGCTCTTCTTCTTCTTCTTCAATTCATCATCATCTTCAATCAATCAATGAATTGAATATTATATAGTTTTGTTGGGATGAGTTGAAGCTAGCCAAGTGGAGAAGGATTGCAGGGTGTTCATGTCTGCTCTATAATGCTTTTGGGTGAATTCAAGAAGGGTGGGCCAAGTGAAATCTGGATATACTCTTGGATTGCTGGAGTCCACCAGTTCGTTTGGTGGCCTCACCACCTTATCCTTCTTTGGGCACAGAAAGAAAGCCAGTGATTTCCTGGGACTCTTGCTGTTCACCACTGCCCTGTGCAAACAACTTTTATACCTCCCATTCGATAGTGCCTGCTTCCACCAAATTCAAACAACCTTAATTACCACACATAATATATACCTTTATGTTACCTACATTATTAGATTTGACATATATAGATATATACCATGAAAGTGTCGCCGATGTTGACGACAAAGGCGTTGAAATTGGGGGGGATGGAGCGCCACTGGTTGTCCACAAACACTTGCAGCCCACCGACGGTGTCTTGGTGGAGGATGGTGAGTGACGTGGGATCGCAATGGGGGCCGGTGCCTAACGTCAGCTCCGGTTTCCGGCACGGCGGGTAATAGTTCAGTCTCATTATCGACTCGTTTTCTTGGTAGAATTCCCTGAAATGCTTTTCGCTCACGCCCAGACTCATCCCCAGAAGCTCCATTATCCCTAGCGACAGATTGCTCATCGCATTGCAGTACTCTTGATAAATCTTCCTGTAATAGTACAACGTTATTATATATTAAGATTGCACTGAATAACTAGAAGTTGTTAGTCAACCAGACTTGTTCAGATATTTATTATATAGCACATTCAGTTACGTACCCGATATGGGCGAAATCTTGACCCAATGTTGTTTGGAAATAGTCGACGACTATATCGTGGGAGGTTTTGTCGGCGGAGAAGCTGAAAGAGAGGGTTTCTTTCCACGGCAGCTTGGAGGAAAACCGGCCGGTAAAGCTGCTGGCGTAGCCGCAATGCTCGCCGGCTTTTCTCTCAGCTTTTTGCTTGTCGGAGAGGGGGAGCTGGAAGAAGTGGTCCATGTAGCGGTGGGCGTGGGAAATGAGGGTGGCGTCGACGCCGTGGTTGGCGACGAGGAAGAAGCCGTGCTTCTTGCATGCTTCGCCCACGAGTCTAGAGGCTTGGAGGGCGGCGGCGGGGTCGCCGGAGAGGAAGCCGGCGAGGTCGATGAGAGGGACGGCGAGTTGTGGGGCGTCGGCGTCGGCGGCGGGCTTCTCGTGGTCCGGCCATATGAACTGCGTGGGGATGTTTGGGTCGTGTTGGAGGACGGAGGCGTCGAAAATCAACGGCTTTGGGACGACGTCGTCGCCTCCTTGGTTCACCATTTGGTGGTTAATTGGTTAGTTAGGCTAATGTTGTTGGTTGCTTTCAATTAAACACTCTAAAGCCGTTGCATGAAACGACTTGAATTGGGTAGAGAGAGAGTAGAATATAATGGTGTTAATTCTGGGTTCAGTTCAATTATATTCTTTTGGCAAATAGGTGAACACAATTGGAGGCTTTTATAGCACATATCCATGTCACTGTTGTCACTAACACACACTACACTTTATTATTATATTATATTATTTAACTTAGTCTGATTTCAATCCTAACCAGCCTAGCTAAGCAGATTTGGACGATTAATAAGCTAACCCAACTTTAATTTGGTTTTAACTCACAATCTCAGGTAAGTCTTTGATGTTGTATGAGTTATTTGACCTAAATTCTTGTACTTGTTACGTTTTTGTTCTCTAATCTTTCCCTATATCTAAAAAGTGACAAAATTGCTTGCATAGGTAACCTTCTTGGTTCGCTGGTTGTTTGTGGGGGTGGCTCCTTGTGCCGCACCAAACCTAATGGACTGTTGAGTTACTGATCGAAGATAATAGAGATGGAGGGATTTAATTAATCAATTGGAAAAAGAAATGGGGATGTTCGAAAAGGATAGTGATTGCCAGGTAGAGGGAGAGGGGTTTATCGATGGAAAATTTTTGGAATTTGGAGTGTTTTTGTCTGTTTCTAATTTAACGTTTGTACAAAGGTAGCAGCAGCAGCCTTGTTTGCCTATGGGGCTATGCTTTTTTGGCGTTTCCTTTGGTAACATCACCTCACCAGCGTCCATCACTAACTTCTGTGCTGCAAAAAAAATATACTCCATTCGTCTTATTTTACGTGTCTGGTTCAGTTAACCGAGATTTTACTGAATTTATTTTTAATTTAATTTTTTATAATATTAAGTTTAGTATTAGTATATAAAATTATTAAACAAAAGAATCAAATTTAAAAATAAATAAAATATACTAAAGAAAAATAAACAAAGAAGAAAGAGTTAGTTTGACCAATAAATAATAAGTAGGACAAATAAAATGGGACGGAAGAAGTAATAACCTTTTTGCCTTTCCAGTTCTGAATGTAATGACTACTATTTGCAACTGTACGTGCTACTTGCTACAATTTATAGTTTTCAATTTTTACCCCAAAATATTAAGGGGACATTTGGTAAATAGTTGTTAGCTACTTGAATTAGTAGGTTTGAGTGGTTGATAGCATTAACTGATTGTAGAAAGATGTTTGATAAATTAGTTGTTAGCTTATAATTGATTACATGCAAAATACTTTTTTTAAAAAAATTGATCAAAAAAGTCACTTTGAGCATCTTTTTAATTTTTAGTATTTTAATTTGAAGCAATAAATTGTTACAAAAAGCTAGTTGTTGAGCATATAGCCATTAATGTGCAATCCAACTATCAGCTTAGACTTTAAGATGGAGCACATGCTTCAATTTGATATCAAAGACATGCCAAAGGTCACGGGTCATGCTAAGATAGTGTCGACAGTTTTTACTAGAAAAATCTAGTGTAGTGTCAGTGTTTGAAAGTGGGAGGTAAACCAACCTCAATTACACATATTTTTTTACAAGCTAAAGTAAGGTAATATCTGTTTTAAACTTTCTCAATATATTTCAGCTCAAAAAAGTAAATCTCCCACCACCTGATTCGATTCTGTGACCACTCAATTAGAATAGTAACAGTTATGTCATCACATTACATAATAGTTAGTCACTTTTTGAACTTAAATTAGTTCATAAAAATATGTAGTACATTTCATTGTAAAAGATTCTTACAACGATAAATCAATTTATTTATTCAATAATAATACAGAGTTTGAAAGTTGCGTAACATTTTTTAATTCAATTAATGAGAACGAGCGAATATCACATCAACTCATCCTTTTTTAACACTATTCCGTATACACGTAAGAAAAATTGGATACTTTTCAAATGTTAAATTATTCTTATTAGCAATTAATCAAAAGTTAATTTCTCTAATAATATGGATGGAAGACATGATTGCCTGCCCATCCAGATGGCAGTAGGACCCTTTTGTACTGGGTAGAAAATGACGAACTAGCTAATCAAATGTAATTAAGACTTAAGAGCTGTTATATTGGTGCTAAGATCTTGCATTGTAGCATGCACATGGATAGTGTAAATGTGATCAGGAATGTTGATATAGTGGTCAAACACTCCTATCAGTTTACAGTAAATAAGTCTAGTATAAGTTTGGAATACAAGAGAGATTCTTTTTATACTAAAAGTCAATGCTAGTGTTATGATGACCAGTAACGAGTGAGATTGGGCAAATTATTGTATGAACCACAGTTCAAAACGACATCGTTGAATGTTATGAGTTAGAATAATGTACTTTATGTGTTGGAATAATAAAACTTATGTGGTAAAATAATATATTTTATGAGTTAGAATAATGTATATTATGAATTATAAAAATGTATGTTGCAGCAAGTCACGCAAAAAAGTATTTTCTTTTCCAACTGCTATTATTGTAATTCCGAAGTTAAAATTTAAAATCATATTTCAAAAAAAAAAAAAAAAAAAAAAAAACTCGTAGAAAGTCCGATCCAAGACTCATACTACGACACACCCTTTACCAGGTTCAAAGTTAGATATCAAAATTGATTTTCCCAAACCAATAGGTACTTAGGTAGTAGTCAAGGGTCTAACCGTAGACATACAACTTTGTAAGATGAGATTTAAATCTTTTACCTTTCCTACCCCATGTATTCTTGATTCGTTAATTAAGGCAAAATGTTTCATTGATCTGTCTTTCATATACCAGTAGTGTTGCACAAGTGACGACTGAAGCCACTTTTATCACTAATGATAATCCAATTCCTCACAGATTCAACCATGACCTTTTGCTGTCAATCTATTAATGCTTCCGTTTTCTTCCATTCCACTCTGAAAAGAAAACTCGACTCCACCTGAAAAAATCTTACATAACACGATTCCACCTGAAAAGATCTGACACAACTCAATTCCACCCTAAAGAGATCCGACACAACTTGATTCCACCCCGAAGAGATTGACACAATTCAATTCTACCTTGAAGATATATAACACAACTCAATTCCATCCTAAAAAGATACGACACAACACGATTTCATCCTGAAGAGATCTGACACAACATGATTCTACCCTAAAGATCGAGATTGACACACCTCAATTCCATTATAAAAAGATCCGACATAACTCGATTTCACCCTAAAAAGACACGGCACAACTCGAGGACTTCAGATACAAACAAAATGTATGCCAAGTCCTGACCTCACTATTTATTATTTTGCATTCATTGTATACTGTGAAGTAATCCCACAGTTGAAATCAAATAATTTGACAAAATTCATCAACATCATAACGGATTCAAGGACAAAAGGTGCAAATTGTTCAACGAGGCATCATTGGGTGTTGTATCAGTAATCACAATGAAGAAAGTCACCCACATTAAGCACATTGGTACTAATAAAACAAAGACAATGTGTTGTGGATTAGACAGAGGCATCAAGAATTAGTTCTCAGTACAATCAAGATAAGGCGTGTAGTATTACCAAATCTCAATCACTCCCCCTTTGATGATACTGGATTAGGTACCCTACCTGACTTTCACAACTTGTTTTGTGCTACTATACTCTGCCAGAGTAACTGTGAAGTCTCTGTTCAAGATGAGAGGCACCTAACAAGAGTTGAAATCTGGTCGGTGTGTTAATCATATGTTCAAATATCAAAAATTTCATTGAAACTTCATCCATGTAATATGCATCATGATCCACTAATTTCTAGCACATAACTTCTATTTCAGAACATACTCCATTTCAACAATAACTATGCTACAACAGCAGCCCCACCAGATTCAAAAGCCACTGTAGTCTTGCTGGACACAAAAAGTTGCATTTAGTTTAGTTATACTTCACTTTTTCTACATTACTCAATAGTGCTCTCCTGCCCTCTAACTTTGAAGATGGAAGACTACACACTTTTTTTTCCCCCAACCACAGTGCTGAACAATGAACATCATGCAAACATCAAATCAGATGTGGCATTGGCTCATGTTACACCAAATTCTGTTCAGAAGATGCAAGTATCTATTTCCATTATAAAAGAATCAGCAAAACACTAACTCGGGTGGGAGGAAAGAAGAGGAAGGAATGGGGATTCATTGGGGTGAGGTTTTGAGGTAACATGGAGTAGTGGCCACAATGACACCAAGACAAAACATGGGGCAAAAATCAGTTTGCCCAAAGATCAAGTCCCAAGAAACAGAGCCCAAAAAGCTTTTATCTTTTTAACTAGAGTTACTACAAAATAGCACTTAGGTGTACACCCGTGTCAAAAGTTAAAAGAAACTAACACAGTTTCCTTAATCTTTTTCCACTTAAGGATATCCTGCTTCTTTCTCTATCTACTAAATATAGCACTATTTGGTGGTAGGTCTGGACAAGCAACATGGATCTTGTTAAAATGGGGAGCAAAGACAATCGCTATTGATTTTCATCTTGGATATTTTAGGATAAGGGGTGGTTTTAGATAGGAATAGGTACAAAAGTATGTCTTCTTTGCTAGGGAAAGACTTACTATTTTTAGTGGACAGAGACAGGTTAATGCAACACGATAAGCTTTGTCAAGACCTATACATCCTACAATTGATAGAGTATTCTACAGTGCAAACATTGGAAGTTCTAAACAAAACTGTCCTCCACCTAGTGGCTGCTAGCAAAAGCCACCCCACCAGTTCACTTCAATATACATACAATAATGTCTTTTAAGCAAACTATAATACAGTACCCTAACTTGAATTCTTGGCTGGACCGCTTGTCTTCAAAGTTTGGTAGACAAGAAATTTGAGAATGACATGGTCTTCTATCAGCTTTTTTCACTAAATGAACATCTATCATGAGCTGCTACTCATTCCTATTCAGTCCCAATATCATGGGGGTTCTATGCTACTTCACCCATCTCCTAATTGCCAACAAATATGATTTATTAAGAAAAAATTATTTCTGGTGGAAAAATGTATAGATACCCACCAGAAAATTACTATAAAAGGAAGCTACAGCATCTTAATTAATCTAGTAATTAATATCTAGTTCTTGTAATCGAGTAATTAATGCCTAGTGTTTGTCAACCTCAGTGTGCATATACCACTTATAGTTGGTCACAGACAGGATCCTATCCATAAAAGGCATCAAACTGTAAGAATGTAAGAATAGCAATCATATTTCCTTTTCAGAACATCCAGACGCAGAGACTGTGACCCTAAATGCCTTTACTTTTCTACAAGTCAGTATCAGAATATGACACGGGTGATCTGAGTTACAGAGGTGATCAGAAAAAAGAGGGGAGGAAGAGAAAATGAACTAAAAAGCATACTAAACTCCCAATGCTATATGCAGATCATCTTTTTTGTAGGGAAGCGAACCGTAAAAAGCATATGTTCCCTTACATAAGAAAGGAATCCAGAACCTTCACATGTTGCTACAATAAGAAAGCTATTGAGGACAAACAGCATCTCAGCAACTTATTTCACATTCTTAGTGCATGCTACACTGAGATGCCACTTGGAAATGTCGGACGGAATTAAATTTTTTTAAACTCAGTTTCAGGCGAAAAAAATCAATAAACTGCTATAACTATTCAAAGTAGCTGGTTCTTGCCTAAGTTGCACAATTGAGTTTCCCACATACAGTTGTCTGGACCTACCACTGAACTGATCATGGAAGTATAATAGGCCAAAAGACAACAGGTGAAATGACCCTTGCCCACTAGAAAGAGTGCAAAATCAGCAGAGAATCCAAAAGGAACAGAAGTAGTGATAGCAAAGGAGGCCTAGCACAGGAGGGCTTGAGTATGTGGCTGAGATGGACCATCATGGCAGGGCAGAGCACCAAGTTGAGCAGTTTTAGTCTGCATCCATATGACACTTCAAGTTGGAGCCAATGAAAATATACTTATAAAAGTAACAAGCCAACGGAATCTAAATTGAACTGATTCAAATACTGAACGTATCATCTAATCGGGGGACTCAGAGCATATAATACTCTGTGCTTCACAGACTGAATTAAAAGGAAAAAAAAAAAAAAAAAAAAAAAAAGAAAGTAGATAGTCTAAGTTGACCATGCACAAAATAGACACTCTATGTATACAATTCATAAAACATTTGTGATATTATGAGAAAGGAAAGGACAGATACTGATGCATAAAAATATCATTGTAGTAGAAACCAGAATGTAAATTCAAAAATCTTAGAGAAAAACCTTATATGCTAACAAAGTACAACACAGAAATAAGTACAGAGTGATAATCATCTTCATTGGATGAACAACAAAGCCCCCACCTTCAAACCACTGTTATTCATTATCAATAGCAAAATTTATTAAATGTATAATCTGCCAATCCTACAGAGACCATCCTTTTTCTTGAATAATCATCCATTATTTCTAATTGCCTCCTGGATCAGAGTATTTCAACTTCGTTGCAATTTTAAATGTTAGTATATTATTAATACCATGAAGAATAGGTTAGTCAATCAAGCACAGACCTGAAAGTATTTAATCACTATAGCATCTATATCCTAGATCAGCAAATATTTAAAGCTCCTTAATTATGTCTCTTGAAGTCCATTAGGATAGATCAATAATGCTCCTTTTAAAGCACTGCTACTTGTTTATTATGCTAATACAAGAATCCACTTTGATAGTTTATGAAACTTCATTCTGAATTTCTTATTTCCAGCATCCATCCTTTTTTTTTTCTTTGGTTTAAATGTTGGGAGTTAGGACCCCCCTGAACTTTCAGAAATTTAATTCATAAACTCTGAAACTATAAAAATGACTTTTAGGATCACTTAACTCATTAGAATCCATATCAACAGTCCCTCTGTCAGGAACCTTGAAAACCATTTCCGTTGAGGTTAGGGACCCTGAAAATTTCTAAAATTTGCAGGGTTTATCAAAGTTCCTAAAAGTCATGGTAAGACCTGAAGTCCCAACATTGAAGCAACCCAACATTCATATTAAATATAACCAGAATTAAATTCTTAGGTTTAGTAAAGCTGAAGGTTATAGTCCTGGACTCCTGGTTAGACTCAATTATGATAGAAAACAGCTCAGTTATAGCAAAACATTCATATTCACACTTTGTTCATTGGAATACTTGTGTAAACAAAGGCAATTTGAGCAGGTAGAGACAATAAAGCAGTTCCCTGGGAACAAATTATCTTGTTCATTAAGAACACATCTGAATATTTCTTGAACATATAGGATTTAAGTATCTTGGGTAAAAAAACAAGCTTAAAAGTATACACAACTAAGTTCCATAGAGAGGCTGATATGAAATACTGATTTAAGAAGATGAGAATCATATATAAAACATAGGGATCTGGTTGAGACCATGTGAACTTACTGACATATATACAGTATATAAACAATTTTATTAGATAAATTATACAAATTTTTGATGTGGAGTTTCTTTACTATTGCTATAATGCTATCATGCTATCATGCAACAAAAAGAACCAAAAATAATACGCCATGTAACACATCGGGGAAAGATGGAAGGTGCAACCTGCTACAATCCTCACAATGAGGTTTCTGTCAAGCACATAATACTAGTGCAGTATATGCTTCTATTTAATGACAGTTGACTTCTCTCTTCCTGTGAAGTCCTTGCACTTTGATAAAGACTGTGAAATCTGAAGTAATAACAGTAGAAACTCTTATGCAACAGAAAAATGAGGCAGACTAGCACACAGAAGACAATCACACCTATCAGTGGTTTCAATGTAGTTTGGGCATCTACATTCTGTTGTGAGACACCCAGTTCAAACTGCTTAATATACATTCTAACCACCACTCACAGAACCAGTAGCTTGTAAGTTACAGGCTTCCAAAATATTAGTTGCAGCATTGAAATGCAAGTTTAGGTATTGTTTCCAGTCATTAATAAACAAAACACGAGAAATATAGAAGAGCGATGCTGATCAATAATCAAAAGATAATACTTGACCCATATGTGAAAACAAAATGAACCCCTCTTTGGATGTGACACTTTCATCTATCCGCAAAATAAAAAATAAAAAATAAAAAAATCATGGAATTGTTATTTAATAGCTGCAGTTCATCATAGAGATTGTTTAAAAAAAAAAAAAAAAAAAAAAAAGTATTGATTTCTGGCAACTTATCAGATCAACATAAGAGAAATCATCAGTGGAATCAATGACGTAATATCCAACAAGAATGGGCAGCAGAATACTTGATTTAGTTCAGAATATTTTAGAACCCTGCCAATTTTCAAAGTAAACCTAGCTTCTTCTAAAATACAAAAGAGAACCAAAAATATCATGTAAAGGCAAAAGAATGGGCAGCAGAATACTTGATTTAGTTCAGAATATTTTAGAACCCTGCCAATTTTCAAAGTAAACCTAGCTTCTAAAATACAAAAGAAAACCAAAAATATCATGTAAAGGCAAAAGAATGGGCAGCAGAAGCAGCATCGTAATATAATGATTGAGGGAAGTGAACAGAATACATCACATACCAACTCCATATTTCAGAAGTTACAAGAAATGAATTAAGGAATGCATTGTTGGTAAACATTAGCACATACCGTACACCATCTTTCTCAAGAATGTGGTCAGAGCCAGTCCTGAAACTCTCCACTTCACAAACTGGTAATTTTCCTGCATCCATTAGGTTCCCAAAAATTCTCCAACCAGTTCGAACCTAAAAATGAAAGGTTATAAAGGATATAGCTTAGAAACAACAAAGCCACAGCACATTACCATAAACTTAAGTCACTCATGGAAGAGCCACAAGTCATCAAAACTCGTACAAAGGAAGATAGGGCTTGTTAGGTTTCTAGCAATTTTCCATGTTTCCAGAAAAATAGAAAATGAAAATGGAAAAGAAAGTTTTGTGTTCAAGTAAGTTTTGTTTTCCAAACTGTAAAAGGAAAACACTTTTCCAAATTTTAAAACAACTCCAAATAGTTTTCTGTTTGGAATATACGACTGTTCACCCAAGTTTTTGTGTTAAATACGATTGTAAGAAGTCATAGTATTTTTAACTAGACAGAACAGGATTTTATTGTGTTGCTTTCCTTGGGGCAACTTCTAAACTATGGGATGGCCTCTTTTGCATTGAGAGCACCAGTTGCAGCTGAATCTGAATGGAGTAACATAGAACCCCTACCTAGAATCAAGTTTCTGTCACCAACCCTGAATGTGGTATTAAAAAGAAAGAGAATTGTATGCAAGCTCAAAGAACACTAAAAGAAGTATCTGACACTTCACAAAGAAGCTGGTGTGGATAAACAAAGAAACATACTGAAGAACACTAAAATGAAGGAAAGAATAAAGTATCTGACACTTCACATCTAGACTTGTAACAAACTCAAAGAACTGGAAAACATAGAAGTAAACTGTATGTTATGCCCATCTTTTGTGGTTTATAACAGCACAAGGCAGTTGCACAATAGCAAGTCCATATTTGCAATGCACCTGCTTTGTTAAATTTTCTTGGTTTTACCGGCAAATCAGTTTGCTTTGTTATTCTTAAAGTCAATGATAAACAACTATAAACCAAAGAAAGCAGTCCCTATAAATATGGGTGATTTGTGACCGATTGCACTTTGTAATGCCACCTACAAAATTCTAGCTAAAATGGTGGCAAATCGGCTTAAGGTGGTTCTTGAGAAAGTTATATCCGAATCCCAAAGCGCGTTTATCCCGGGACGTTTAATAACGGATAATGTTCTCATTGCTTCAGAAGCCATGGCTATTAAGGAAGCTCTATCTTGGATCCTCTCTCAAGGTTGGCGTAAGGTCATCCTTCACTCGGATTGTCAGATGGTATGCAGGTTCATAAATCAAGATGCCCCGGATTCTTCATATGCGGGCAATGTTATTGAAACGACACTTTGAATCAGTGTCTATTGAGTTCATCTCTCGATCAGTGAACAAATGTGCTCATGCATTAGCTCGAGCTGCTAGTTCTCACTCTGGTCATGCTACTTGGTTTTCATCGATTCCTTCATGTATTGAACAATTTATTACTTAGTTTGAATAAAGTTCTTACCCTTCAAAAAAAAAAAAAAAAAAAAAAAAAAAAAAAACAACTATAAACCAAGACTTATTTACTTGTACCAAAAGTATAATAATAATAACTAGTCTGCAAAATGGACTATTCCCTGCTAGCTTTCACACAATAGGTGATGAGAGTAGCATGATGAATTTGATTCTTCAGCTCCCCCTTCATATAGGGAATTTCATTTTGATCATTTGTTTTTCAGGGAGATGATTATTAATGATAACATTTTCTGAAATTAGTGATGGAAGAACTGAAAACAAACAAAAAAAAAAAAACGTTCATAATTCAAATAAAAACAATAATACAGTAGTGTTAATATTTGAATTACCAGCTAATCAACTAATCAAGCTTTCAATAAATTTTCAACCATACCATCACTTGTGGCACTGAAATCAGGCCCATTCCTCCTCCTTATCGCGCGCTCTCTCCCTCTCTATCTCTCTCGTCTCAGAAACAGTGATATTGAACAGATTTAACAGATACCTGAAGAGCAATCAAAGTAAATGATGTAAGAACGGTGGAGAATTAAGAAAAGTAAGAGGAAAAAATAGAAGGAGAAAAAGTAACCTGTGGCGACGGCGGAATGCTCGTAGGTGCAGTTGCGGTGGCGGCGATTGAACGGAAATCAAAGGCCAACAGCTAGTTCTTGTTCGGACTACAAAAGAATTAGTGGCCGGATCGGCCTGAAAACCAAGCCTTGAAGCCAATGCATAATTAAACAAGCACCTGACGGGGGTGAATACCTTCATCTTCAGAATCATCCCTATCCTCGGAGCAACAGAAACCAGAGTGAACGAAGAAACTCAGCGTACAAAGGAGGATCATAATTACACGTGTCTGCTAGACTGCTTATCACCGCTCTTCCTTGTATGCCACCGGCTAATATAATTGCATTAACATTCAGCTTACACTTTTGAATTATAAATAATAATCATTTTTTATTGAGTTGATCTTGTAAATTCATTTTTTATTTTTTTTGCTACCAAGAACTTTGTTGTCGATGGCATCAAGTTACTTCCTTATGTGGAAGGTTATGCAAGTGATATTGACTTTTTGTACTTCATTTGATTAAGAAAGTAGTTATGAACAGATAATAATATTCAAAAAAATGTTTTTTTTTTTTAAATTGTAATACGTCTTAGTTAAAATAATATAATATTTTATAAATTATAAAAATAATATATTTTAGCAAAAAGAAAAAAAAAAGTAGAGTAAAAGATATTTTTTGTCCTAGACTTATGGTATCAAAGACAATTTTAGTCCTTCCTACAAAAATCAGACAATTTGTGGATACTCTTATTGTGACGAGGACAATTTTGGTCCTCCGTCACTTATGTCGTTAGTTGACTATCTAAATGAGCGGCATTTCTGTTAATTCAACTTAGTCTTTTGATCCTATGCTATAAACAACTCAGAAGGCGACATAATGAAATTGTTTGTTGCAGATCTCCGATCCAGCCAATATAATCCAGTTTCTCTTGCCTTCATATTGTGCCAGTCCGGAGTTTTCACATGCTGCCTTGCGGCCACTCTTTGCTTCTCCCCGGGCACCGGCACGAAGATACCAACCCCGTCAGTCTTCTAGTAAGTGGCGATGATCACCATGTCAATATTCTTATCAAGAAGGAAATGAAGTTTCTCTCGGATCTTATATCTGAAAGAGCCCCCTGCAGTATCCTGGTTTTTGGGCTCGAAAGCCAGTACTCAGGTCTCATTTCAATGCTGAATGTGGGTGGATGTGTCTCTTTCTTGAGGATGATGATGATAAAATGAAATCAGAAACGATGATGATTAGTATGAATAAGAGTCGAGTTCACAAGGTGGAGTATCACACACGTGCTGAAGATGCATATATGCTTCTCAAAGGTGCAAGGAAACACCCACAACTCTGCTCACCATTGGCTAGCATTAGAAGTAATAAAAGTAGGGGAAAATTGTAAAAAATGCCCCTCTATAATATGTCAATTATCAATGTCACCCCTGAATTATGAGTGGTGTAAATGTTGCCCCTCAATTATTAAAATGGTGCACATATAGCCTCTCCCGTAACGGACTTGTAGTTCCCCGTCGCTGTCCATCGCTGGTACTTCGAATCGAGGGAGAGAAAAAACAACTAAATTACATATTTACTCCGACTTAATGGTGTCCTACACTAACAGGGAACCACATTTTCGTTACGAGAGGGGCTATATGTGCACCGTTTTGATAATTGATGGGCAACATTTACACCACTCATAATTCAGGGGTGACATTGATAATTGACATATTATAGAGGGGCATTTTTTACAATTTTCCCTAAAAGTAGTAATAGAAGAAGAAGAAGAAGAAGTGAAGGTGCAAACTGGCAAACGCATTGTTAGCAAGGCTTTCACAAGAGGTTTACGAGACAAATTGGGATGTGGTGGTGGCGGATGGACCTTCAGGACATCATGTGCCAGTCCGGAGTTTTCACCGCCTGCTGCCCTGCAGCCTCTCTTTGCTTCTCCTCCGGCATCAGCACGAAGATACCAACCCTGTCAGCCTTCTTCCGCGAAACCGCGGAAGAAGAACTCATCATCATCCTCGCTGCGGCTGAAGAAGGGTAAAAATGAGACGACCACCCCTCCATACGAGTAGGCCACAAACAAGCATGCCATGGTGCGTAGCCGATATTATCTGGATTTCAAAATGATCTACGAGATCAAGGGAGAGGTGCAGTGCAAGCGGTGCGAGAGCTGGTATGAAATGGGGTTCGATCTGATTACGAACTTCTCAGAGGTGGCCAAGTTCATATGGGAAAACAAAAGTGAAATGGCGGACCGTGCGCCAGAGGTTTGGATGACCTTCCGACCTGCCGCTACTGCAGGCAAGAGAACAGCGCGAAACCTTTGATTCCTCGGAGCAAGAAAGCCATAGGATCAAACAGCTTCATTTATGTCGGAGATCTGCAGCAAACAACTTCATTTCTGTCACCTTCTGATTCTTTTATGGCATAGGATCAAAAGAATAAGTTGAATTGACAGAAATGCCCCTCATTTAGACAGTCAACTAATGACATAAGTGACGGAGGACCAAAATTGTCCTCGTCACAATAAGAGTGTCCACAAATTGTTTTTTTTTTTGTTTTTTTGTTTTTTTGTTTTTTTTGTTTTTTTGTTTTTTTTTTTTTTTTTTGTTTTTTTTTTTATGGAGGACCAAAATTGTCCATGCCACTATATGTCTAGGACCAAAAATGTCTTTTACTCAAAAAAGTATTACACAATCTTATACAATATTTATTTATTTTTTGTTTTACCCCTTTTTTTTTGTAATAATGTTTTACCCATTTTAAACACAAGAATGATCATCCAAAAATCTCATTTATATTTTTCGGAAAATAACACTCTTTTTTTTCATTGTTTGTTTGTTTGTTTGTTTGTTTTTTAAATTTCATTATAGATATGAGAACTTAATACAGAGTATTTAAGTTGTTGCCTACATATTTTTCATCAAATTGAAATGAAAGAAGGTTATTAGTTTACATATATTGATGTTTTTTACTCTAGTTTCGCATTAAATTATTTACTTGGAAACAAACATACTGTTTTAATATTAATTTTTGAAAAGTTAAAACGTCAACAATTAACAAACTAAATAAATTAGATATTATTAGGATAAGAGACAAATAAATCCTGGCCTTGAACTTATGTGAAGGAAATGTAGAAGAAGAGTATAAGACTATACCGTATGACTCTAAATTAAATTATATGACCTTAACGTATGATTTGCTTCTAATCTTGCGGATGCTGTATATGAAGATTTTGTGGGATGGAGTGTCAAGTTTGCTATGAGCAGCTAGTTGGATTTTTTTTGAGGAAAGCAGCTAGTTGGATATAGTAGTGGAGAAACGGATAGTGCAAATAAATTCGGGTCAACTTATATATCGAGAATGTATAGTAGAAAAGAAAAATGAGATGAAACATTTTACGTGGAAATCTGAAAAGGAAAAATACGAGCATTTTTTAAGCTGGGCTATGCCAAAATTCAATATTATTGTCGAATAGTACATATTTTGACCTACTCTACTCAATGTTATTAAAATATACAATAAATACCAATAATAATAATAATAATACTAATAATAATAATAATAATAATAATAATAATAATAATAATAATAATGAGGTCGGAAAGTTAATTAATAACTAAGAGTTAAGCGATGTCGTCAAGAACCTAACTAAGAGTCTAACCTTACAAGCTAGGTCGAGGAGCTCTAGGTGGAGCGTTGCATGTTGGGCATAGCAGCCCCCCATTCACACTTGGTAGATTGCTCTAATATTTATGATGAGTGGAAGGGTACATAATGATAGTAAATATTAACTTAGTTGATGTGACATTCATTGATTTGACACTAAGATCGGATACGAGATGTGTAAGCTATTTAAGTGACGGTTGGTGAGGTGATGGCGGAGTTAACCTATCTAGTCATGACGATTGGGAAATGTATTTATACAGAGATCGATAAGTATATAGATAGGAAGGTAGGTAATTAAGTCTACATATGGGGCGATTGGTAAGGATACTTATATAGCGACCAGTAAGTATACTGATATGGCGACTAGTAAATACACTAATATGGTGACTAGGCCAGTAAGTCTTCTGATATAGTGACTGATAAGTATACTGATATAGCGATAGATAAGTATACTGATATAGCGACCAGTAAGTCTACCGCCATAGAGGTCGGCAAGTAGACATGTAGACACTTCGAGTCGGGAAATACACTTGGTCACTCCTAGAAGGACTCTCCTGAGGTCGGGAAGTGTACTTGGGACCCTCTTGAGGTCAGGAAATGCATATATGAATCATCTAGAGGTCGGGAAGCTAAGTGCACTTGTAAGTATTCCAGAGGTCGGAAAATGTACTTGTAAGTCCTCCAGAGATCAGGAAGTGTACTTTTAACTTTTAAGCCACATAGGTGCAAGTATGGTTGCCCTAAAACCCTATTAGAAATAAATGTGTTTTCAAATGTACTATAAATGAAGTGTGTTAGGCTAGGAAGTGTGTTGATTATAGATAGGCAGATAGCTAGGCAATATATGAGGTTGGTGAGACGTTCAAGAAGATAGTTAGGCTAAGAAGTTAAAATGTTTGTCAATCTAGGAGACATAATTGGGGAATATCCGAGGTCCATCGTTATGCCATGGAACCATGTTTACCATCCATGGTGAACACGGTTTCAAACGGTAACGGTGCTTATGGGCACCGTTATCTTCTATTGGGTAATAAGGTGAAAAATCCCAAAATAATAATAATCCTACGGAAAGATTAATATTATATGGGAAAGCAGAAAAACTAGGAAGGAAAAGGTTGAGTTTTTGGGTATAGGTTTAGCACGAGTTCGAACACAAAGTTCTTTTCCTTAAAACCTTATTTGCTACATCCACAAGTGCTAGGAGCGTTGTAACCTAGGTTTCTCAGGATAAAACGTGCTACGATTCTTTGTTTAAGCACCTAAACAAAGAACCCGGCAAACAAAGCAAGGCTTAGAACACTGCTGGGTAAAGAAGAGAGTAGAAGCAGAAGTTTTGAAGCAAAACATTGTACTAGAATTCCTTTGTTTCTCACTGTGTAAAATGTTTCTGCCCTACCTCTCTTTATATAGGGCTGTTGGAAGGGATAACATTCAACATGGCCTTTAATTGGTATTAAACCAATTGTGTAACACCTGTAACAGCCACCCACTAAGTAGGATTAAACTCAGAATTTAAAATTGGAATTAAAACAGTATTAATTCTGTAACAGATGAGTTTAATCTGTACAACAGGCTGAACTTTGCAGGTTCACACGAGAGCACACAGACCAGGCAACACGAGAGTACATCTCTCGTGCACGCTGTGGTGCAACCCGAGAGTGCACCTCTCGTGATCACTGATGCA